CTTGAAAGCCTTTTTCAAATGTTTTGCGTCATTTCTGGCCCGAGCTCTACGATCTTTTTAAATTGAGGGATCCCTGATTTATCTAGCAAATAAATTTTGTGCATGTTACTTTCTGTGAGCATGTCTTGAATGTCATATAATAGTCCGTTCTCGGAACTTCCAATTCGGACACAGCTGATCGAGTTTCCATTTTTCTTTGCAGATAATATCTGGGTTTTGGCCACTCCTTGATTAGGCTATATAAGCCAGTATGTGCTGTCGAACCACGTTATTACACGACTTCACAAAGGCATCATTCCTACGTGTGGATCAATTGACGTCCTGCTTCAGCTTCGAATTTTTTTCTGTAGATATAATCATTCGCAAGATTATTCATTTCTCAGCTAGGAATTGATTAAACTATTGACTTTTACAGAGCTTAAAATACTGGAGGTTCAAACTTGTGTAATTGAATACTTAATCTCAAATATCACATGCTTCCTTTTTTAGAAACGATATTTTGTAGTAAAGACTTATTTCATCTGGTTTCAGTACATAAACTGCTTTCCAACTTGGAATTCTATCACAAAAACAAAACAACTTTCACAGACTTTGCACCAGAACAGTTGCTATTTTGACGAATCCGCGAATCTGCGCATGGCTGGAAATTTTCGTTGCCCATGATAGCAATGTAGTTCTCATTTGTTACCTCTAGGCATGATTCTGTGCCCTCTGTCAAGAAAAGGTTTCCTTGCGAATCAATACTGATGTAATCGTTATATTCGGTCTTCAACATTCCATTATCATTGCTAAAGTATGTAGCTTCATTGCTCGCAACTATCCCATGCGCACCAAAAGACATAAAAACATTCGCAAGTTGGTTATTATTCTCGTCGAAGAGAGACAAATATCCGAGGTCTATGGCCAATGCGGGTTGGGCAAGGGCTAAAGCGAGGAGAGGGAATGTAGCATTGAATTTTATACTTGGTCCGGTTTTGTTTCTGTACCAAAATATCCATAACTGGATAACCTATTCTCTCTTTATATAGTTGAGTTTTATTTTTTTCAAGAGTGATTTATCGTCTAATCATGATCGTGTAACAGCTCGATCAATAGTTTAGGAAATTTTCTAAACTTCACAAGGATTACCAGCAAAACACAAAGATAGAGAGTTTCTGGACCTCACTTACTCTGTTTTCTTCAACTTCATACTTCATTTACCTCTCTAGGCTATTTGATTCAAAAAATTGACATATAAATCCAACTATATTAAAAGTTTACATTTTGACGTTGCGTACATGGTAAAATATTGCCTGATTTTCGGCGCCAAATGAATTTCCGTGCGCATTTTCTCGTCATGTCCTTGCATATTACAACGAAAGCTGACATTCAAAACGATATACAAAGATTGTTTCTGCATTTTGACTAGTTAGTTGTGAGTAAGATAGTTCTACTTCACTGTCTTGTGACTGAATTTGGGGTTCGAAGCAGATCTACTCCAGATACAAACTGCAAGTAGAATTTCCAGAGGGCCGTATTGACTATCTGAAGGCTTATAGTATCATTCAAATTCTTTTTTGGACAAAACAGAAATTATAGAACATGACGGCAACCCTTTTTATCCTTATTGCAAAACACGTGTCATTAATAAGGCGTCTCTGTGTCTCTCTCGCTACTCTTTCTGTTCAACACGGAGAAGGACGTGTGGCAATTGGTGGGTAATTTATGGTTTGTAACTTCGCGCAGAATTGACAGCCCTGACTCAGCAAAACAATAGTCAACTAAAACCAACCTACTGTCTGGTGCATAGCCGATTTCTTTCTAGCGCATGAATTGACGACACTTCCGAGAGAATTTTTTTTCAGCGTTATACAAGTTTGAAACTGGACAAAGTCGAGTTTCACCCCTATGTTGCGCCTTTTCCTCGCTGTCTTTGGGTAAATTTAATAAATGAACGTGTAATTTTTTTTTTTTTGAGAGTCGACCATATATTGTGAATTAATTTTCCGTTCTTGATTTTGATTGCGTTTGCATTAATGCCGAAAATAACACATACATCACCTTCGAAATTTTCTTGTCTCGCTTAGACACAAGACCTTCAATATTAATGGAAATATTGGCTATCTGAGCGATAAAAAAGGTGTGGTTCAACAATTTTCGACAACCCGGATTATTAATGCCTTCAGCCAGATTCGAACTGACGATCTCCTCATTACTAGTGAGGTGCCTTACCAACTTGGCCATAAAGGCTTGTTTCCATTTCGTTTTGCTTGTGTGGTTATCTTCGGAAGCGGTTAAATAGCTGCAGGCTCGCGACAATAACTTGATATGATATTAACTAAACTAAATAGCCGCTACCCCCTTCTTCTTAAAGTTGGCTTTGTTCCCAGCTTTATATCGTGTAGTTAAAAAAAAAAAAAAA